CCCCCCGGCGTCGACACGCATGTCTATTTTGGTGTGTCGGGTGACAGTTTTGACCCAGTGTCCCAGTTGTGTGGGTCCCGGCCTGTTGTTTACGCGATTCTCATTTGCAGGGGGGTTTGGTGGCGGCGCTGCAGTCTGCGGCGGCGGGAGCAGTCTGCTCAGTGTGATCGCGACGTCAAAGCTGATTTAGCTGCGCTTTGATCGCGGCGTTGCGCGTCGGCGTTGCAGCCGGCACGACGGCTGGGGAGCCTGCAAACCGTCCAGTGCGCCCGAGGGCAGATTCCCGCCGACTTCTCGCCAAAACCAGTGGCAGAACATCGGCGGGGTGACTTTCAAGGATAGTAGTACACTGCAATCAAATATTGTGATGAAAGGGGCAATCGTGGCTAAATGTTTTTACATCCATCTCGTTACAGAGTGGTTTGTCACTCTCGTTCACCAGGATGGGTTCTACTCGGGGCTAACAAAGAAATCCGTGATGACACGGTTGTCGTAATACATGATATCCTCATTTTCCTTCCAACTTTTGTATATAGTGCAACCGTTCGTGGGCCACGCCTAAATTCCCTTGGTAGCCAAAATGAACTTGCCCGATCCATATACTTCAATGTCGCCCATATCGGTCTTTCCTCTCCTCACCTGGACGACGGCAAAGACGACGAGCCCAAACGTGAGCGAAACCTCGACGAGGTCGTTCTTGAGGGGGCTGGTCTTGACGCAGGAGATGACGCCGAAGAAGTTGAGCAGCAGCGTGCCCAGGCACTCGGCCGCTAGGGCGCGGTAGAGGTTCTGCTGCTTAAGCTCTTTGTGGCCCAGCACCTTGTTGACGTTGGCGGGCATCTTGAACGGTGGCCTGGGGAACAAAAAGATAAGAGTCACATTATGGTCTTCTATTTGTGCAAAACAATGGAACGTCGTCTGTATTTTATTCAAAGAGAGCAAAAACGATTATGATACCGAAATCTTCCCAAAAGGTGCTTTCATATGTTTTTGTTTAAATGTTTCACAGGGTATGGACTACTGGGTGCTGCATAGATTGTCGTGGCACGAGCGTGACCGCCCGATCTCTCCCGCCCCTAAGCTAACACACATACATACACACACACTCGTAAATACACGCACACATACAGCTATTTATGGTGTGCAGCGAGTCACGCGTGCCTGTGTCCGCTGGACATACCCAGCAACACAATGGGATGCAGTAGTCCTGGTTTGTGTTTATCGGTGCCTGCTATCCCATGACGGATGAGCTTGTTGATGACGGTTGATGACGACATTCATTAGGACACAATCAACCGATCCGTCACAGGGCCGTCGGAAGTGTTTTTCGGTAGGGGGGGCCAACTTAGACGAAAAGCGGGGAT